TTTCTTGGTTTTTAAATTTAATTAGCATGTCATAGTGTTGAAATTTGGCCTGTATATGTTTAGACAGGATGATCTATATGGAAAGGAAATATATACAAGAATAAAAAGGAAAATTTTAATTATTACATTACTTTGTATATATCTAAGAAGTTAAAAAAAAAAAAAAAAAGAATATTGTAACTCTATCATTGAACTGTAAAGCACTTAAAAAGTAGAGAGTATTATAGGAAAAGTTAAAAAAAAAATTTGGCTCTTTTCTTTCCTTACTTTCTCTCTAATTTACAACTAATAAAGATGATAGTCTTTTAAATTCAGAATATTTAGATTCTTTCTTGTCCGTTACTTTTTCCCTTATTCACGGAAAAATGACCTTCTCATACCCCTAATTTGCACTAAGAAAGAAATAAACAATCCCATTAACTTAGAATGCAATGTGCTTCGTTTGTTAATGAATATAATATTAATTTGTTTTGTAATATTAAAGAACACTGTGATTGCTAGGAATAATAATAATAAAAAAAAAAACTTTGAATTTGTAACTTTAGACTCTTTCATTTCCTTTACATTCTCCTCAATCTCAAGATGCAAAGATGAAAAGAATGATCTTAATTTGAATTCATAATCTCTTTAAAACAACTTATTTTGTGCCTATAATAGTACTATTTCCATTGCTCCCATTTCATTTTCTTTGCTTTTCTCCCAAATTTAACTGCGGGAAGAATGAATATAATGGTCTTTTAAGTTTGTTTCGATAAGCCAGCCTTTCAAATCTAGCTAGTAGATCTAGACTCAGAACTTTTTGGTGTATCAAGAAGGAAAGAATGATCTGTTTGAAAGGGAAACAAAAAAGGGTTCTAGCTGAAAAACCATAATTTCCTTTCCTAGGACTCTCAAAGTCTCGCCCTCCAAGCATATTTTTAAAATTCTCTTGTTACTTTCCTCCCCTTTCCTTTCCAGCATATACAAATCCAAACATAGTGGGAGGACACTTAAATATCAAAACATAACATATTATACATTGTAAAAAGAACCAAACTGACACTTAAATTTATCGACAAAGCAAAACACATTAGGATTAGAAGGCTACATGCAATGAATCACCCACCACTTATACTGCATGGACCACCCATATTATATACATATTAATCCACTACCCTACCAATAAATTAATGTTTGAGCTTACTAGCTAATATGCAGCTGTGTGGTATTGGTTCTTCTACTTAACCCTAATTACCATTCGAACAATTAATTAATTACAGTTCAAATAGCAAAATAGTATATAAGAATGGTTCGATTACCGATTGCTTACGACCAGATCTCTAAAGGAAGCAGGCTTAATTATCAAGATATCTAGATGACTGCAAAGGGGGAAAATTTTGAGACTATCTTCATTGTATTGGTTTGTTTTTAATGATTTTCTTCAGTATGTTAAAGATTAATTAATTCAGATATAACATAGATTAATAGAAATAACTAGAAAGTTTAGATCAGATTGGGTAATGCAAGCACGGCCACTCATCATGTACTTAATTTTTTGCTAATCTATTATGATTAATTATTATTTAGCTTCATTTGTGTAATGTTGGATATCATCATCATGTTTAGGGTTTCCAAAATTAAAAAAAAAAAAGGGGGTCAAAAACCAATAAATCTCAATTTATCATCATCATGATATCATCATTTTTTATTTATTTCTTTGATTTTCCTTATGAGATGGAGGTAAAACGTCTGGAATTAGACAACAATAGCAAAGACATATATACGCATGAAGAGTATATATGATGGGAATTCAAATTTATTTTGGATGGTTTAGATGTACAAACATCTTTTGTTTTGATGAATTAATGTGGAATTAAGCAGCCTTTGGATTAGGCCTGATCCTCTTTGCTCTTGAATACAAGAAGACTCCGGCAAGAGCTACTGCAGTTCCTGAACTCAGATAACACAGGAAAGTCATATATTATATAAAAAGAAAGCACAAGAAAAATCAAGAAATTAAGTAAAGAAAGTCATGGAGAAGAAGAGGAATTTTATGTACCGAGGGAATTAATGGGGGAAACTGGTGTTTGGAAGAAGAGAATTGAAGAGACAATAACCACAACCCGCTTCACGCAGTTTCCCACTGAGTGGGTGACTGGTGATACCATTTGTAGTATCATATAAGAAACCTACAAAAACAATATTATATAAATGTATAACAAAAAAGTATTGTGTAGTCTGGATTGTATAATATAAACTGTTAGATAAAATGAGCCCCTGGTATTGGGAGCTGTCATTCACCTAATATATAGTTTCTGTTTTACAATTTAGATTGCAAAACAGGGAACTTAATTTATAAATGGTTAATGTCTAAATGGAATTGGAAAAAACCAGAAGATTTAAGGAGCTAAGCTAAGCACAAGAGATATAAAGTTATAAACAAAACCTCCTCACCTGCTGATAACTGTGGAAACAAATTCCAACCAAGAGAGATCTTATGCATAGCTCTCTAACATTCAAGCCTTGACTTGCCTGAGATAGCATCAAGAAAAAGAAAAAGGCCAAAGGGAACAGTAATTATATATGCAAGATGAATGGTTAGTGGTTATATAAGCATTTGGAGTCATAAAAATCAAGCCTGTGTACGTATATATATACTCACAGCAAATTGGAGGTAGGAAGGACTGAACTTAACACCATCCAAAAATATTGCAGCAGGAACCAAGAGGGTGAAGGAAATAATGGTTATTACAGAGAAGAGATTAATGTTATCCAAAGTATCCTGTTTATATAGGAATGAAATAAGAGGCTGGTTAAAGGCCCTGGCATAGAAATGCCATAAAACAATTGTGTCAGAGTTTATATGTACTTTACCTCTTTCCTACCCATGAATTTTTTACTAAGTACATTGCGCGATTGGTTTGTCACATTGGAAGCCATTGCAGTGCAGAAACCAGTCCTGTTTCATCAGTACATATAGATGAATGTTAGATCTTAAAAGAACTCTCCATGAACCAGAAAATGCATAGTTTAACTTGTTTCACATGAATGGAAAATGATCCCAAATTATACCAATTAAAAGAGGCCTCAGTGAATGATGCGAGTGCTACTCCACCTACAATTGGAAGGAGGGAAGCTAGAACCCAGAAATGAGGCATCTGTGTACAAAGAATGGCAAAAACTTTATTCAAAAGCATTGATGATAAGACGAACTTGTATATAGAAATTAAATCTTAAAGATGCTATGATTCTTCTTCTCTTTTGTGAAAGTGGCATGCAAGCTTCAACTCAAGGCTTGCATTGAAGCTAAAACCAATTGTAGAGTAGACTTCCTTGTATTGCATGCCCCCTCACATGCAGGAGCAGGGCTAACAACAGGCTTCCTAGAAATGGAGCCTCAGCTTTGGTACTATGTGAAAATTGTCATATAAGTTTCAACACAAGACTTACATCCAACTTAAAACGAATTGGTAATAGGTTGTATTTAAGCCACATGTTTCTTTTTTTGTTATATCTTTAATGCAAGATTTTCCCACTCAACATCTTTTAAATTTACAATATTGTCAATTAAATTAATCACAGAATCAGCAGCAAAATCAGATATTTCACAACCTACCACAAACCATGAATTCTGCATAAGCAAAACAAAATCAAAACACTTAATAAAGATCAAAAGCAGAAGAGGTCTTACCTCTCCAAGAAACAGAACCGAGAACAAGACAGTGAAAAATGGTTCCATTGCCTTGATTGTGTGTGTGAATGAGACATTAACTTTGCCAAGACTAATGTTGGTCAGGAGGTTGCCCAATGTGTGCCCTAAAGCAAGCGGTACGATGGCTGCAAGCTGAAAATTGATTCTTTAACACATTGTATAACAGTTGAAAAGCTTGTCTGAAAATGATTCACAAACAACAAAGAACCTGAGAGCGAGTGAGCTTTGGTCTATTGTAGAGATTAAATGTCCACATTATGACAATCATCAAAGTTCCACAACCAAATTGGAAAGCAGTAACTGTAGCCGGGTATGGATACACCTTAAGAACCTAGAAGCCCACGTAATTGACAGAACCCAGAACAGACAGAAATGAGAAATCTATATTTATATCCAAAGGGAAGAAGAACAGTTTAAACAATCTATAAATGCCACAAAGAAACAGATAGGGGATGCAAAATTATGTGTTTTGAACAGGTAGTAGAGTTTCAAGAATCAGAGCATCGGGGAATTCACATTTTCTGGCAAAATCAATAGAAACAAAGAAAAGGGTAACCTTTGAAAAATCTAAGAGAACATGAGAAATAAGATTCAAACTGAAATAGAGAACTGAACCTGTTTGTTGAAAATGTTGAAATAGATGTTCAAGAAATACCAAAGTCCAAACATGGCTCCAAGCAGGACTGTTCGCGACAAAGCACTAGAATTTGAAGTCCCATCTACTTTTTCCGGAGTTGAGGCTGCCCTGACCGGAAAATCAGATCTTCCGTTTGAAGGGATTAATCTTGTAGAGATCCGAGCACTGAAGCTTGAAGCGAAAGAGAGACCTGAAGGTACATTGATAAAACAGGGAACTAAAGGCTTCAAGGCAACGGGACTAATTCTAAATCTAATTTGAGGGTTAGAGTTGTTATTTGGGTGCCTGAGAAATGGAGTTACCGGAGACAGAGCAAGCGCCGTGCTCTGCATTTTTCCCTGTTAGAAAAGTGAGAGAGGGAGAGAGGGGCGGGCATTTACCGTTGTTCTGGTTGTTGTTGTTCTTCGGGCATTTAACGTTGCATGAGTGAGGAAGCCGTCCTAGCAAATTTAGAGTCCAGGACGAGTTTAGGTTGAAAAATAAAAAATCTAATTAAATTCAACGACCCTATACTCCATGGCAAATTAGCAATCTCTTCCTGTTGCCTGACTCACTGGAAAACTTTAGCCCTTGTTTGGATAGAAAATAGTAAAGGGAAGGGAAGGGAAGGGAGGGGAATGGAGGAAAATAAAAGGACATGGAGGGGGAGGAAAAAGAAAGGGAAGGGAAGAAAATAGAAGGAAATGATTTGCGTTAATTTTGTTTGGATAAATAAAAATGAGGGAGGGGAAGGAAAGGGAAGGATTGTATTATTTTATGTTTGGATAATTAAGGTAAAAAGAAAGGAAGGAAGGGAAAGATTTAAATTAATTTTAAATTTACAAATTTATCTTTTAAACTTGTAATAAAAAAAGATATAATAAAAAAATTAAGGTTAATTTTGTAATTACATTTAATTTAATCTAAACAGTCACTCAAATCCCTCCCAAACCCCCCAAATCGAGCGGATTGCAAATCTGCAGATTTGAGGGTTGTTGGAAAGAATCCGAATCAGTCCATCTTCCCCTCTCTGCCTCTTTGGAAACCCAAATAGCGGAAGGAGACAGCCTCCTCGCTCCCCCTCCCTTGCCATCCATCCCCATCCCTTTCCCTCCCTCTCCGTCCGACACCTCCAATCCAAACAATACCTTAGTATCAAGAATATAATACCGAGCTCGAGTCTAGATTTATTTATTTATCTATTGGAGTTTGGATGGTCGATAATGTCTTTGAGCTGGTTTCGATGTACTACTAATTTTTTCCTTTTTATTTTTTATTTTTTGGAATGATCTTAAAAGCATGAGTTTCTTAAATTTGGTCTTATAAAATGACACTTTTTAATGGGTAAAATCTCTTTCGGGTTGAGACTAAATGTATTCATTCCAAAGTTTGTGAAAATGAAATGAATGGATGACATGTATCGAATGGAAATGTGCGAATCTGCTGAATCTAAAGTTGTGGCATGCACTGAAAATCTTAAGCATGAATGGACAACAATCTATATGTTTTTGTCTTTTTCATTTTTTCTTAATCTTATTTGTATAATGAAAAATAATTATTTTTTATTTTTTATTTTATTTCATACATATATCATATGATTCAAATTTAAAATTTTTTATTTTCAACGAAAAAAATGATTACTGAACTATTTATATCGTTAACATATTTTCTATTTTTGATAACCCACAATCTAGATTGTTTTGCGGAAGACTTCTGGAAAATAATGCTCGAGTAGCACACAGGGCTGAACATAAATTGTACTGGACAAAATTTCCCAGAAGACTAAGCGCTAGCGTAAAAGTCAAAGATGCAAATACAATGCATTTACATGCGATATGCACTCAAATTCCTACATATTATGAACTTCATGGTGACAAAATAAGAGTAGGTGATCAACATTTCAATATTATTTTCTTTAAGAAATTATTAAGATGACCATGTGGACAGTGAAAAGTGAACAGTCATTGAGGTTAGGTATGTTATTAATTAAGAGATATTAAACTCACATTAAACGTGAAACCAAAAGCGGTTTACACGTTCTTCACAAGAGACACTCAGGTCAGCGAACACGTTCTTCGTGAGACTCATTTTAAGCCTTGAAAATGTCAAATAGCCAGTGTGTCCTCCAGCCTCAGCAGATGGCCCAGCCATGACTTGCTGAGAACTTGGATTGTCCTGCACATGCTTCCTTCGCTTGAAGGTTTCCTCCTCCTCTTGCACGGAGGAAACCCAACAGAGCCACCTGCCTTTGAGCAATCAATTCTCCATTCACGGACCTCATATGAACGGAGTAATACCTCAAAGGTCCTTACTTCTGCATTCCAGAACAAGAATTAATTTACTGATTTATGTTAACAAACGTTTAACATGAACTTGATTTGAGCAATGTGACAAGCTAAAGGTTCACACCAACACATGTTATACACATACCTGAAAGAAAACACGTAGCAAGATAAAGTTAAACTGACCCCAAAAAACATTATTACTAGAGAAGAAATATGGGATAACCAGTTTCAAGATTTACTTGTAAAGTTTGACCTCAGTGTTTCACATGAGGGTTGCACTTGTTCAATGCAAGGTGAGAATGGGCACAAAATCCTATCTTCTTTCAAGATTTTTCCAGCTGAAGGAATTGGCCGCCAAGGTTGGGATGGGTCCCAAAACACAGAATCGGTCAACCCAACAAGATCATTGGGGAAATCCCTTTCCCTGAATATCTCTTAACTCCCACAGTGACTAATCTGCTAATTCCTGTCCTGCCAAAATCCTCCGTGTTCAGAAATTGAGGAAGGGAAAAACACATTGGCAATAGAATGGAAAACTACAATTTTCCATATGTTCAAATATGAGGCAGTTATCAAAATGAGAAAAAGGCCTACGGATAAATTAACCAAACTATACAGAAGATATCACACTAGACCTTCAGTTAAAACAATTATTGACTTCTATTTAATAAGCAACATGGTTGAGATTTCAATTTTCTAGATATAGACCCACTCAAATCAATAATCTGGCAAGACTAAAAATTATATGAAGTGTAAGCAGAGCAGCTGATAAGAAAATATTAGCTGCATATGCTTTGTATTGAGCAATTGCCTATGACCCTATACCCATGTGCTTTCAAACTTGTATACCATTCAGTAATTGCCAAAATTCAGGATATAAAGGCATCAGAACTCATAATCTCTCAAAAAGCAGAAAAATTGAAAATACCCATAAAAGAAAATAATCAAATTAGAAGATAATTATCATCACTAACCAAATCATGAGAGATAATCTGCACAAATACCCATTCAAAAGTAAGATGCAAACTATGGAGTGGAGATGATAAAAGCATATGAATATGATAGTAAAAACAAACATTTGCTAACGAATAATTTGAACAGGATGAATTAGTATGATTTGCTAGGGGACTCCAGAAGCTTAAACAGTTTCCTGCCCTGAGAGTTGACTGAAGAACACATGGAGAAAACAGAGGACAAAGTCCTGGCCATTTTCTCATGCAATGGTAGCCAGTACCCTGGTGCCCAGTTGGGTTCTGCGCCTGGGCCGGCCTCCTTCACATCAACAAACACAACACAGTAACACAGCCAACCCAACCCAACCCACAGCTGAATATAAGGTAAGTTATGGCCATACCATTATATGTCATTATAGGTAGGGTCACACAGTTTGACTTATATTTTATTAATTTATAATTTTTTAAATAATTAATTATTATATTTAAAAATAATCTATTTATAAGTAATTTTAATTTTTTAAATAATAAATATTAATTATTTTATTATTAATTATTAAATGTTATGAATAATTAAACCGGATAATATCAAAACTGTGTGACCTTTGTATATTATTATGAGGCTGTAAGGCCCATAACCACAGCCCTAAATATATAATTATTCAAAATTAAACATTTGATTTATAATTTATGATTTGTAAAGTGGGTTTTTTTAATTTTTTTTATCTCAGATTGTATAATAAAAGAGTATTTTCTCTCGTCTTTTAATCAACCTTATGTATATAGCATATAAGTTGAACTTAAAATCTCTTCTTTTTAGTAAGAGTAGATTATTATTAAATTATTTAAATCATTAATAATCGGATTTTTTAACCTCTATTATGATTAAAAGTACAATTGTTACATTTTTTTATATTATTTGATATTAAAAAAATATGTGAGCTAATATTAATTTTGCCATTAATGTCATATAAATTATTTTAATTAAATACTTAATTAAATAAAATTAATTTTTATTGAATTTTTTAATACTAATTAATATTAAAAAAAGCAGAATAACACTGTATAAAAAAACCGTTGTCCAATATACATTTTGTACTCCGAACCTAAGATTTATATTATGTGTTCTTGTAAAAGTCACATCACAGTTATGAGTGCAAAATATCTCAATTTTATGAATTAATGTTGGTAGAGGAGGCCCCATCGGCGCAGAAATTCTCTTTGCTAAGAAATGGTTATCTTATCAATTGGTGATTTCTCATGCCCTTTTGGCCCTTCAGTTAGATACCTCTGGATAACAGCCACAGCCCCTTCTTATGGTATTCCTATATAAACCCATGTAAAAATATCTAACAACAATATCTTCACAATGTATCTTGAGCATCAGCTTCCTTGTTTGCATTGTCAGCTACATGAATATATCGGAATGGTAACTATTTCCTAAGCAATATTATGTAACTATCTCCCAAAAGTTGGGATACTTAGAATCTTTTCTAATTTGTTTTTATACTGTTGATTTGTAAATATTGTTGTCCACATACTGCTTCCTAATGCTGTATAAGCCTTTGGTTTAGTTTAACACTTTTTGATGCCTTTCAGGTTCAACATTTGATAGAGGTGCCTGCTATTTCAAATGAGCAGACATGATTGTGTCATGGCACTTGCAAAGCATGCTAGGAATATTTTTTTTTATTAGCCAAAAAGGTTTTATTATAAAAGGAGTAAAAGAGATGCTCTAATCCATTATTTTACAAGCAAATTACATGTGTAAACATCTAGAGAAAATCAAACAGATTCCACAAAGACAATCTCAAATTTTATTTAGATGCAATAAACAAATCTTACATGAATATCCAATTGCCTCCATTTGTACAGCAAGGTCATTTGTGCTGCTGTTTTTCTTGCCAATTCACACGCTTGGGTAGGGGAAGCATACCGATGATATCCATCAATAATTCAGGCCATAAGGTAGCTTTAAGCCATAGAATGGTTTGGTTTGGTGTTTGATTAGTTCCACAACCTTCCCTTTGAGTTCTGAACTAGTTTTAAAAATCACCCCATTTCTCCATAGCCACATAAACCATATTGTTGCAAACAAGACCATCATCCAGGCTTCCTTTATGCATCAATTAGTGAAGAACCCTGAGTGTTGTTCCAAATGTTGCTAGCCTTTTTCATGGGGTGCAATAGCAATACCCCACCATTTGTAGCAAGATGACCAAACATTCCAAGCTGCTGAGCAAGAGAACAAAGCATGCTAGGATTGAACCTGTTATCACACTTACACATTTGTTTCTCCACTCTGCATATGTGTATGTGTGTACGCGCATGTTTATCTATTCAATTAGTTAAGTTTAATCAGTATTCATGATTTCTTTGTGTATGTGCACCTGTTTGTTTATATGAGGAGTGCCATATACTTTTAACGGATGGTTGTACTGTGGAGAGAGTTACTCAAAGAAAACAAGGGATTCTTTCAAGCATACTTTCACACTCTATCGCCAAGATCCTTAAGACGTAAGCTTTGAAAGTTTACATACTTATATATACTTGGTGCTATTTTAGCTAAGTACATGCATTTCTTTTGCAGAAGGATACGCTCAGAGGAGGGTTAGTTTCAAAGGAAGAAAACAGTATATATGGTCTCTTTGGGAACTTGAATTTGGTTAAAAGTATATTTCAATTTGAAGTTCTAAATTTAAATACATTGTTTATTTTTACTTAAATATAATATATTTAAATTTTGTTTAAACACGTGTTGGACATCATGTATTTCAAAATTAAAATTACATGTATTTTAAATACATTTTTTAACCCATAAATTTCAATTCTGAATTCTTACATTTCACCAAAATAAGATACATCCTCAACTAAATTCTAGACCAAGTTTCACAAGTTGCAGTTAGATAATCTATTTAGGGAATTAAAAATGTATATATATTTTTGGTGTGTTTTCATGTATTGATTTTTTAAAATTTCCTTAAATTTTATTATTTTTTATTTTATAATTTTTATTAAATTCAAGAATTTTTATTTAAAAAAACTTAAAATCATGATTTTAACCTTTCCTATATCACTGTTGTGTTCTTTGCAAAGAGATTAATATTTTCTTTTTGTTAAAATATATTTAGTTTTTAATTTTAAGAGAATTTAAACAATATTTGAATATTCGAAAATAAAAAATATATGTAGTTCTCTTATTAATGAAATAGAGATTCAATTAAAATAATAGGTAGAAGAGGATTTAATTTAACATGAAATTCAATTTTAAATGCATAGTAATATAGTGCATATAAACAATATATTTTTAAATACATGTAATTTAAATTTATTTTTTTATCTAATCTAAATGATGTATTTTAAAATACATGCATTTAAAATATATGTTTTTTACATACATGTATTTAAAATACATATTTTAAGTAACGACTTAAATAACTCAGTAATTATCTTTTTTTGTTGAAAGTAAGAGATTTTAAATTCGAATTGCATGACATGTAGGTGGGATGTGATAAGGAATGGAGATGATTGCCTCCCATTATACAATCAAAATAAAAAAAAAATACATATTTTAAATATAAATATATGTTCCCAAAGACAACCATACAGTGAGATGATCTTCGGCACTACCATGTAACCGTTTGAAAAAAATCTTCTTTTAACTTTAATTGAACTGATTAGGAACTTTGATGAGATATATCCCGGGGGGCTAAAACTAATTTTTAGCCCATTTTCTTACAAAATTAGTAGATTTTAACCCCCTAACTTTATAATATGATATTTTTAGCTCTTTACCTTACAAAATTGATAGGTTTTAACCTCTCACCTTACAAAATTGGTAGGTTTTAGCCCCTCACTTTATATTATGACACTTTTAACCCCTCATCTATATGAATTGAGGAAAATAACCCCTATTTAACATCAGATGATAATATTTTATTAATTTTGTTAGCTGACTGTCAGTTCTGTTAGTTAACTGTTAGCATCCATTAGCTGACTGTTAGCATCCATTAGCATTTCATTAATGAAACTAACAAATAAATTGAATTTAAACTTCATGGTTTTTTATAACTAAATGCTAACAGATGTTAATAATCGACTAATAGAACTAATAAAACTAACTAAATGTTATAACATGATGTTAGGTAAGGGCTATTTTCTTTAATTCGTATCGATGAGGGGTTAAAAATATCATAATATAACGTAAGGAGTTAAAACCTACTAACTTTGTAAAGTGAGAGGCTAAAACTTACAAATTTGTGAGATAAAAAGTTAAAACGGTCATATTATAAGGGTTAAATGCTAAATTTGGTCCCTCAACTTTAGTGAGTTGCACATTTTTGGTCCCTCAACAATTTTTTGCACTTTTTTGATCCCTCAACTATACAAAATGCACTCCGTTAATCCTTCTGTCAATTTGGGCCGTTAACTCGGCCACATGGCATTTTTTATATTTTTTTTGATGACATGGCAAACACAACTTAAAAAGATGCTTATCTGGACTTTTTTTTTTATGGCATGTCATTTTCTTCACGCCAAACCCCTTCAATGGATTCTAGTTACCTGTTGTTTACACCCATTTTTGCAAAAAAATAAAATGGTGCCACGTGTCAGCCATGTTGGCAAGAATTTCATTGGTTGAAAGTTGTTGGAGTAAATCTCTATGGATAAGGTTGAGTGGTTATTTCCATAACAACAGCAAAACCGTTCGTTTGTTGCAAGCTTCTAGGAGGATAATCAGTAACACAAACAGACTAATCTGTTTGTTTCAGATATCACGCTGCCATTGGTGTTTCAAGATTGCTGCTACAAATCTTCAAGTATGCTGCCAAGGGGTGTTTATTGCTATAAGTATGCAGAGAAGAAACGAAGCGAAGGAGACCAGCCTCTCACACAACTAGCTCAGCACTATCTACATTTAGTTTTACAAGCAATGTCTTAGTTTAAATCTAGTTTTCTCAAACAGCTTTCCTAGTTAAGTCTTTAGCTCTATGCTGCCATTAGTTTCAACTCTAATTTTTGTTATTTCGTTTTGAATATCTCCATTGATGTATTTAGTTTCCTGCAATTCAATTTACTGCACTTTGCCCCAAAATTCATCTTCCTAGCTTCTTTTAAGTTGAGTTTTATACTTCAATTTTTATTTCGTTTTCTATGTTTTCATACTTTCGTAGTGGCATCACGCTTTCTTTTTGCAATTTAGTTTTCCTGCCATGCACTCTCTTTCTTCTCCTTTCCTTTATTTTCCTCTTTTATTTTGATCAATAAACTAACATTTTGGCCCTAGTTGTGGGAAGTCCCTAATGTTCTTCCAGGGCAATTATTGATGGACCT